AAGCACTGTCGGACGGGGTGTGCGGGGAGCTCGCTGCGGCCGCTGTGCTCCCCGGAGTCCTCCCTGGGCATCCTGGTCCTTCAGTGCAGCCCTGGGAGGGACCTTCCCCAGGCGGGAGAGCTGGGGTTTTGGAAATCGGGGGGAACTAGGGTGACTGGGCTTCTTCTGAGCCTTTTGGGGAGGAGGATTTGCCTTCGCGTCAAACGAATAATGAGCATCCATCGAGTGAAGTGCCGCTCGCATGCTGGTGAGGCTGGCGGCAGCTCACGCCCTTCATCAGGCTGTAAGACCTTGCCTTGCGCTCGTTGCGGCGAACGAGAGTGTCAGGTTCTTGTAGCGTCTGTTTTAATTAAGCATGTCAGCATTTTCCTATTAAGTTCTTAACTTTCCAGGACTCATAGCTCAGGTTTTCCTTGGCATGCAAATGCATCTCTGGAGGAGTGTTTTTTTCTTAATTAGAAGGGGTTGGGAAATGCTTTTGGCTGTTTGCTGTAGGTGTGGGTGGGACAGAACAGTCCGTTTCCTGGCGGCAGCGCTTCCCCTCTGAAAACATCTTCTGTGTTTTTTTTGTGCAGGACCACTGTGGGGTTTTTTTTCTTAATTTTTATGAAAGCTTTTTTGAAGCTACAGGGGAGGAGAAGGGTAGAGCCTTCAGACGGCCTTGATCTTGTCCTTGGTGTGTTGTTAATTAGACAATAGAAGGGAGTCTGCGGCTGAAGCCAAAGGCAACATTTCTGTTGCGCACATCAGCTCCCGCGGGGCAGCCCAGACCCCAGAGCTCCATTTGCAAAGCAAAAGTGAAACCGTTGCTGAGGGCAGGGGCGGCAGGCTCAACACTGCTGAGGATGTGGGGTCTGCGGTGCTTTCCCTCCGCTCGGGGCGGGGGGGGATGTGGGATGCACAGCAAAAAAAAAGGGGTGTGGTGAAGCAGCTGGGCGTTTGTCTCCCAGCGTGGGCCAGCACCTGCTTTGACTCCCATGACTCACGCTATGCCCCCAGCCCTGCATCATGGCCAAGCCCAGCTGCTCTCGGCCTCTTTGCCATGACGTCTTTGAGGTCTCCCCTCCAGAGTGCCCGGCCGCAATGGGAACTCCCTGCTCGACGGCTGCTGTGCGGTGACACAGCCTCGCCGTGTCCTCAGGAGGCGGCAGTGCCGCCGGGCAGACCGCAGCCGTCTGGGGCAGCTCCGCTGCCTGCGGCTGAGCCGGGGGAGGGCGAG